AATCCTTAAAATTAAACCTAGATCAACATGTACTTATTTCACTACGTAGACCCCAGGGTCCACCAATCCTTAATTAAACCTAGATCTACTGATTTCACTACGTTGACCCCGGGGTCCACCGATCCTTAGTTGAACCTAGATCTACTTATTTCACTACGCTGACTCCGGGGTTCACATCCTAAAACAGCATTTTGTTAGGTAGACCCCAGGGTCCACCTATCCTTTTGGGGCTAGATAGACCCCGTGGTCCTCCTATCCACTTCCTTGATAATAACTGAAAAACATGCCAGTTGTCATGAACAGTGAAGAAAAATGTGGAAAAAAAAAGATAATGAGGTAGACTATAATTTGTCAAAAAAATTGCAAGTGCAAGTGAAGATCATAAGATAATTTTGTTATTTTCTGGTCATCTTTTCACAGTTTATAAAATGTTCCAGTAGGCCTACTACTAGATCTATGTCTCTGAAGAACATTTTGCTTGACTTTATCAGCTTTTTTCATGTACTTGAAAGCATAGAATATAATAGTTTCACACAAATGTATGCACAAAACCTTGAAAAAGAAAGATACAGTCATTGTTGTTGTTTTTTAACGGAATCCGTTTTACGTTGAGAAAAGCGCTAAAAACAAGTTAAAAATTTTAAAGAATGCCCATAAGATTAGGAATCCGAAATTACTACCTTGATATAGATTGCTTACTCTTTAATAACCATGAGTTGTTAAGAAAAAAAGAGAATGATATAGGATTTGTCTAAATATGACCATTAGTATTAGCATTATAAAGATATTGCCCATTTTGTCCAATTATCCTTGCAGGTAAAATCACCCTGTACTGCACCTCAATAAGCACAAAAAGAATATTTCTGTGACTTTGTATAAAGGTGTTTTGTAGTTGAGTTCTATGTAAAATTCTCAACAAAATAATGCACATTTGGACCGTACAACTGAGATAGACACTCATGCACACAATAACATTCACACATTACACACATACACAAACATACTATTACATGTACTCTCTCTCTCTCTCTACATCTCTCCCTCACCACAACCACACACAAAACAAACACATACACACACACACACACTCACACACACACACACACACACACACACAGACACACAACTCTTTCCCATGGTAAACTTATCATTTAGTATTATCCTCTATTTTGAAATAATCCCCCGCACTAAATAAAAAGATCAGTAAGAATCTCGACCTTCCAAATCCCATGGTTAGTTCAAGAAATCTACCATATGATGTGGCCTAAATATGATAAGGGAGGGGGGTTTAGCTTATCTGGGCCACAGTAGTGTGGCCTAAATAAGGTCACCCATATATATATCGCAATTTTCTTTGATGTCGTCTTGCCCTTTCTCAACAACACTACTTAATCTAGGCACTTTTTGATTGCACTAACGGCCTTCACAAAAAAATTATGGTCATTGGTAGGGGTAGGATTCAATCTGAGTCGATATCAACAAAGGCGGCACTTTCCTTTGATATTATCCTCCGGTCTGCTTTGATAAAGGACCTTGAACCTGTATGATTCAACCGCCCATTCACCGCGGGTGCGAAAACTGGTGTCTAAGCAGTTGAATCACGTGGAAATTGTGAACTTGTGTGATATGGGCGGTTGATTTAGTAAAGGGTGAAAACACTTAGCAGTAATCTTTCTAACTAGGCATTTTAACATAAGGTGTATCAAACGCCGTACAAGTACTACTTGAAGTGACCTAAAAGCTATTTTCGAAAGTAATGTGTCGCTTATGCGGTTGAATCTCGTGGCTAGCGAAATGTAGATCTATAGCTTGTTCACTTTCTTCTGAACGCGGTTAAAACAAGATAAAATGAAATCCCCCTGTTTAATCTTCTCAGATCTTGGCCCGGGTTTAAAAGTTGGGTGACCAACAGAATCCCCCAAAAAGCCCATTAATTTAATAAAAGGTCACTACAAAATTAAGGTTCCGACACGTTTTCTTTGATGCGTCACAAAAAAGCGAGTTAAAAAAAGTATTACGGGATTCACAGCATACGTGTGCGGCTCTGAGAAAACCCTTCACAAGGTGCAAAATTTCAAAATGAACTTTTTGCATATTTTAAAAGACACATCTTTTCCGAGCA